TCACCACTCAATTCATCACGTGATTACCAAATGAGGTCACATGTTGTATACATCACAGGTTGACTCTGTTCTCTCCTAATCACCGACAAAACTCAAGTATGTGAAACCGATTTCGCCAGTTATTTTGGTCGTTCATGGGCGGTGAATATGATCTGTATGTTCTTACCAAACGGACAAAATCTAACACAGCGAGAGCCAGAAATTCATTGCAAAAGCAAGTCAACATGGGAACGGATTCAAAGTCCCATAGTGCCAGATATCGAGATGTCAGTAGCTTCAAATGTGACTTTGTGGTAAACGACACCACAAGATGGTGTAAATTTCGCTTGCATCTCTTTCTCAGCTGGGAACCATACAGCTTAAAAAAAATCACGTCTCGAATATTCCCAACATTCAGTCCTTTGTTTCGAGTAATTTTAGATGTGGTTGTTGCCCTCTTCCTTGGTAAGAGGGAATGGATACTTTCTAGTCAAGCTGAACAATGACGATTCATCTCTTGAATGTGATAACTAATGGCCCCTCATCCAACAAGTGACTTCCAAGGTTCCAAATATTCACTCACACGTGGCAATGATTGAAGGTATAACTCAGCACATGCTCTGCTATTGGTTCTTCCAGATTAATACGTGAATACTATGATGTAGTTGGCGGTTTATATATCGCGTCTAGTTTAGTAGGTTTGAATTTTGTGCAGCAAATCAAAAATCAAAAATCAAAACAAACCCTGGACTCTCTCAATCACACTACGCATACCACGTCTGACTCACTAGCAATCAACAGCCATGGCAAGAAGCATACTAAAAGACAATACAGCACCGCTACCTACTACTTCACGTCGAGTTTCGTTTGCACCCGAAGTAACCTTGCATCAAATTGAGGTGATAAACCCCAACAAACGAAGAAAAACAGATGGCGGGGCAAGTGGGTATACTTCGCTCTCATCAGAGTCTGATTTTGAAGTCGTTCATTATCAATCGCAACAAGAGTTGATGAAGGAAGATAGTAATGACCATTTGATGAGTTTGTCACCAGTTAGCATTCGTCATAGGAAGATGTTGGAGGTTGGTGACGAGTTTGACGATAGCCCTGATGATGGGGGTAAACCACTAACTGACAGTTCGGACGAGGAGAATAGGGAGGAAGGCAATCGAGGAATGCAATCTGATGCATACAGTGCAACCAAGCGTGCCACCGAAGTTATTAGAAACCTTGATGACGGCACTGAGGTCAGTATGGAGTTAACTACCGAGGGCAAGGGGGGAGTTATAGGAAAAGAGGTCAACGGGGATAGCCTTTCCGGTGCGCCATTGGTGTATGCATCAGATGAGGATGCAGACTACTCAAGTAATGATCAAGAGGAAGTGGAGAATGCTGCCAACACTGGAGTACCCGTTGCGGAGGAAGAAGTGGATATGCAATTGACCGCAAGAATTGAACAATCGCAAGCTACTCAACCCGTCCACACTTTCAATCAACCAGAAGAGGATATGCAATTGACTGGCCCTGTCATTACCACAACTCGGCGATACCGACAACCAACAGCAAGTTCGGATGATGAAGGTGATGATACTATAAATTTGACCACCTTGATGTCAAAAGTGGCACATTCGCATAACACAGGAAAAATGGGAACTGGAAAGGATTTTGAACAAAAGAGTGGTAACGCAAGCGTTGTTGGAGAAAAACAAATGGATGATGAAGAGACAATTGATGGTACAAACATGGATTTGACTGAACGAGTGACCCGTGTTGTGCCTCAATCAACAATTTTGAAACCAAATCTTGAAGCTGTACCCGATATGAATGATGATGAGGATGAGGGCGAAGAAGTAGAAGGTGAAGACGAAAATGAAGACGAAGGTGAAGAAGAGGACGAAGTAGAAGGTGAAAGGGTATCAAAAACTGTTGAGCACGTTGCCGTGGATGATACGTTGAATAGCGGGAGGTTGCGTGAACAAGTGGACATGGAGAGTACTGAGCATACAAGTAGCAACGCTTTGATTCAGACTAATGATGCCGATATGGAATTGACTGAGCCTGTTGGCAAACCGTCAACGGAGTTTTTGAAAGTCACGATTGACGAGCAACTCCTACCGCATAACCAAGATATGGAATTGACGCAACCAATAAGAGGTTTAGGAAGTAAAAATCACCCAAGTGAGTTAACAGAAAAGGATGCATGGAATAGAATTCCCCGAGCCAATACCTTCTCTGCAGTGGGAGAAGATGATGAAGATCTCAAGCAGGGTCAGGACACGGAAACGGTGGACTCTACAGAACGACAGCAGTCACCAATGTGTTCTCAAAAGTCTATGGAACTCACACAACCGATCACGGCGTCAGCAGTAAATCATGGTGGTTCAGCACTGGCGAACGTGGTGACAAGTTCAACAATCCTCTCAGAAAACGAGCAACTGACTGAAACAAAATTTACTTTGAATGAGAACAATCTACTGCATCGATTAACTAGCGGTGAGAGAAGGAATGACCAAGCTTCTGCGAGTGAAGTAATTAGACCTAACATGAATAGATTCGTCAACTACAAGTCGATTCCGTTATCGCAATTTCTTGATGATGTTCACCTCAAGTTTTATACTGACATTGATTCCATTACTAGCACACAGATTGGATTGGATTCTACCGAATCGATTACGCATAAATCACCCTCGATACACGAATTGATATTGGCAATCCCTTATAAGGAGATGCATGCCTTGAATGATTTTATTGTTAATGAGTTGCAGTCGTATATAAAGGACGGCGAACAGGTGTTTCGCGATTTCAGTGACCAAATTGGAAACGACAATCTTCCGATAATGAAAGAGTATTACACAACGGATAATGAGAGACAACGTGACGCGATGACGATTTCCATGAATAATATGAAAAGATTAGCAAAATTGGAAAGTAAATCAACCTGGTTCAAATGGAGAACCACTTTGACCCAAAATGTCATCAAAGAAATGGATCAACAGATTGAACTATTGAGAGAGTGTCAAATTGGTTTGGATGAGTATATACAAAATTTGAATGATCAAGTTGAACGAGCTAATGGGTACAAAAGTCAACTAATAATCAGGTTGCAGCGGTTACGAAATGCCAAGCAAACAATGGGTAATTTGTCACAGGACCAAGTACACCATATGCGAAACACATTTAGCCAACTGAAAGCTGAATTGAAAAGCCTTGCAGAAAAGGTTGATCAAGCGAGGAGTAAATCTCAGCAATTGGAACAGTCTTTGCTGGACCTTCGTGGTCACAAAAATGAATTGATCAGACTAGCCAATCAGGTGGATCTTGAGTTGGATAAGTGCAAAATATACACTAGGGATGAGCAGATTTACATGAAGAAGAAATATGACTTATTGTCTGAATCAACTCATTTGAAATATGTGCGTACGGAAAATACTTCCAATCTAGTTTTTGTCTATGATGGCATGATCACGATCAAGATGGATTTCATAAATCATTCTTTTCAAATTGGAGACATCCAGTCAAACAAACTCCATTTCAGGTCATTGGTTAAATTCATATACAAGCTTCCCAACTTCCAATTCGATAACACGAGTAAGAATCCATTTGCTGACTGGAAGAAATTCAAACTATATTGGCAAAAACTAGTACAATTTGACACAGTATTGGATATCATTAGGTTTCAATGGCCCATCGAATTGAAAGAAGGTGGTGATTCCAACGATGATGGGATTAGATTTCAATTTGAGTTTTTTGATTTTGAAAAGGAAAAGAGATTTATTGTTGAAGGATCACTTAATCTTGAGTCGTTGCTTGATTTCGAGGAAAAAGTTAATTTCATGGTGAAGCTAGCTAGAAAAGCCCCTCTCAATGAAGCTGAAGTTGATGACACGCTCAAAAAGCTAGCTAACCAGATTGACTTGCCCAGGTGCACATACACATTTGTTCCTAACATATAAGAGTTGAATGAAGATATATATAGATATATATATAGCGTAGACAAAGCTATTCAGTTGTTTCAACAATTCCTCCTCTAACTCAATGAGTCGCACCAAGAAAGATGGTGGCTCCCAAACATACAATCATTACACCCACTCCCCAGATGGCCAACACCAATCCACCATATTTGCAAAATTTCTCCAAATTGGTTAACTCCACTTGTCCTTGTTCTATTGGTTTGATCAACAAGTATCCAAATAGTCCGGGCAAAATAAAAGAAATCGACGTTGATCCGGTGCTTCCCACAAAAGCCAATACCTTGGCTAATGAGGTAACTGAAATTGCCACAAGATAGCTTCCCGCGACAATAACGGAAGTTATGATGTAAAATTTTTTCGAGGTCAAGGGTACCACTATCGGATCGTGGCCCTGTGTATCATGAGCGCCTTCCATTGGGGTGGTGGATATGAACGATTCATCAACTATACTGCTGTCGTTTATGGAAGAAAGACTCTCAATATCGGAGGTTAGTGCTGTGTATGCACCACTATCAGTCCTATTGCCATTTATTGTGCCACCACTAATACTTCCATTTGAAACACTGTTGCTTCTATTATTTTTATTACTGTTGTTGTTGTTGTTGTTGTTGTTGTTACTAGAGTTGCTCGTCTTCTTCTTCACCTTCGATGTGTCAACACCATGAGTTATGAAATGTATCACATGATTAATAGATCCACGACATGGGTGGCACTGCAACGGAAAAGATAAACTAACCATAATCACAATGCATAATCGTCCAATCAATGAACTAATCGACTCGCGAGGGTACATTGAGATAATGTTGGCATTGACATCGTTTCCGAACGTTAGATACCCTAATATCCCCACCACGAGGTAGCTGACTAACGCAGTTGAAATCGCATTACGAATGATTAAATTCGATTGACGTGTTTGCGATCCATCCTTAGCATCAGGCTTCAACTCATTAATGATGGCAAACATATTTTGGTGACACGTATACGCAAAAACAAACATGGGGAAAGAACTCAATGTCTGGCTCCAGCTCTTAGGTCCTATCCAATCAACGTTACTTCCTCCTGCTGGAACAGGTATTGCCAGTCTTGAAAGTAACAATGCTCCACTGACATCATCTTCCCCGCCATTTTCACGCCCGGTGACCAGCAAAGCGATATACTTTTCAATAACCAAGCAAATCAAATAAGCCACTGAGAACAAAGCAACAAAACTGGTGTATTTCAAACTATTCAATTTTTTCAAATACGACAACGGGGCAACAACGACAACCATGAACAATGTGATCCAGAAGTTCCGGTGCATTAGTATGGGATGGTTAGCAGTTGCATCATCTCCAGATATCGTCTCAACTATCTTGGGCATCAAATCGCCAATTACAACGAGGTAAGAAACACCAACACCAAAACATTTTATCGAGATCGCCGAGTCAAAAACAATTGAAAATTGGGGGTAAGTCAATTGTGCTAGGCTAAAGTACGATACTGATCCTCTTTGGCCTGTGTACTTAGCGACTTTGTTCTGTAGGTATAATCCAAATGATGATGTGAGTGAGGAACATACTATCAATATACATCCAAATAAAAGTCCATTAGTGCTTAGTCCATAGGGCATGGCTAAGATACCAGCACCTATTATGGTATTTAGTAGATTTATTGTGCCTGATTTGATAGTAGCTCGTCCCATACTTAGCTAGGTGTTGTTGTTGTTGTTGTTGTTGTTGTTGTTGTTGCTTGTTAGGGAATGACAATTGTTTTCAAGCGAAGGGGAAAAAGATGACTGGTTTGTGCGTTTAGTCGTGGTGTGAGTCCACGTAAAGGTACTTCACTTGCCACGTAAGGGATGTCGCTAATGGTACGTTATAGTGATGTATCGTGTGCACAATTTGAGAGAGTCGTGGTAACGCTTTGTTTGCAAGACCGTTGGTCGTCCTCTCGGCGCAAACGAAAATCTAAAAATAAAAAAGAAAAATTTACTTGAGCCGAAATTGTGTCGGATATAAACTGCCATATAGAAACTCACCAGTTGAAAGAACTGTCAAGGTACACGTGACAGCTGCTACTAATGGGGAAAAACTCATGAGAAGTTGAAAAGAGACAAAGTGTATCAGTCGAACACTGTTCCTGGCGCCACTTTCATTGTGGATGAAGGAACACCCCCGGACAAAACAGCACCCACAACAAACAAACAAATCATATCTGGGGTGATAACTACATTTGCATTTTATGATGCAAAACCTGTGCTGAGTTCTTGTCATTTATGAGCTTTCACTACTTTTTAGGCAGTATCAAGGGGTAACTCGTCAATAGCATTCATTTCCCAGAGATTGCATTCGGGGATAATCATTTTTAGTCGTCACAAGAAGTAGTCGCCCAAATTGCCTGTACGATCAAGCTAAAGAACATTCGATAGGAAAGAGTAAGCCACGCTTCACTAAATCGGCAAACCGAACAAGAAGGAGATTAATGAAGGACCTCAGTGCTGTCGATGGATTCTAATCATCCACTACGCCGAGGGTATTTAGTTTCAGCTAGCAGTATCTTGTTTGAGAGATATTGAAGAATGTAATATCAGTGTTGTGTGAGAAGTCGTTGTGCTATTTCTGGTGCCCAGGTAAAACTAATGGATTGCACAAATTGATTTTGGGAGTGAAAACAAGGATGTACGCTGGTAGAGGGGGAGAGGGGAGGGGAGTTGTTTATTTGGCGTAGGAGAATGATAAAAGGCCACAGACGGGAAGTTGACGGATTTCACACGTATCTACATGAAAAAAAAAAAAAAAAACTGTACTTACCAGAGATGGAAGAGGGCATTTATTGAATAGAAGTTGCATATTTGAGACTAGAGCCTTTCAGAGGACCGATTTCCCTTATTTGGAGGTACTTTCACTTAGATCGAGAGTATCAGGTATCACACACAAGCAAAACAGTTCGAGTTTGAAAGTTACCTGCAACCGAAACTTCATCCTTTGCAGAATCAAAGGGTTCGCTTGTTATGCTGCTGCTGGTGGTGATTATTACCCTCCATAATCAATCTTTCCACTGGCGAATAATCACCAACGAAGAAGGGGGAGAAATGAAACAGTAGCATTATTCACAATATAACTTGATTGCATTTGATTTTAGCATTCTGCTATGTAATCTACATATACAATATTGCTAGAGATTTTGCTGCTTCTGTGGCAAATGTCTGTTTATATTTTTTTTTTTACCACCAGATCACATAAGATCCACACACACACACACACACAGACTCGTTCACATAGATTAAAACACACCTGCCTACGCATTTGGTTACAACTTGGGTTACTTTGAGTCACTCACTCAAATATGTTGGAAAATTTAAAGTTTCCAGATAAGACGGAGGAACAGTGGCTGGGTGTCTTTGGTGGAAATAAGAATTTCGATGAATCATTCGATTCTACAAGGGTTATTGTTGATCCTGCTGGGTATGATGGAACTCTCTCAACCCAACTTGGCAATCGTAGTTTCACAATTGAAGGTATCTCGAGCGATGCTGCAGAGTGGGGGGACCTAGTAGATGAGTTGGGTATGACTGTTGAATCCAGTGAAGCTGACGCAGTTGAGTTAAAGGAACCAGAGCCATTGAGAGTTGAATTGAAAGAAGACATTGGTGAAAATGCAGCATCTAGTGTCAACGCTGATGGGATGAAGGCATCGGGTCCACTGCCTATGCAAAGATTCATGCAAGCGACAAGTCGGCACTTTACAAAATTTGCTCAACAGTTCCAACAACGTCACGAATATGCATGCACGCAACTACCACCACGTCCCCAGCAAGCTCCAAGAGGACTCAAAGCGGATGCTTTGAAACAACCTTTCCAAACATTTGAGCAGAAAGTCCACAATAAATGTCTATTGGCAAGTAGCAATTTAGCACCCAAGTCAAGTTGGAGAAAGCAACTGGATCAAATAATCAACCTTGATTTTGAGGAGAGTGATGGTTCTCAAGGTGTTGGATCCGTGAGATACTATACTTGTCGAAAGTGCCATACCCGCTAGTTGATCAGCTCAAATATATTTCTCTATAGATATTTTTGCTATTGAATATGTTATAGTTTGTTTTGGTATTTATTGGACTCGGAATCAAAAGTAGAATAGAGCAAGTAAATCGCCAAACACACACAAGATTCAAGACTAACTAACAAAACTAAAACAAAAATAGATCTCCGATGTTTGAATAAGGTAAATAAAAACTCTCTAGCTATACATATACATGCAACGGAAAGCGATGTTATATATATGAAGAATCAGTAAAAAAAAATAGCACTGGTGTCATCAAATTTGAGAGAGTTGCCACTGCCTCTTGCTACAAACAAAAACACCAATGCTCTCCCGCTTCTCTCTTTCATCAGATTACAACTCTTGCTTCCACGTGCAATGCTGATCTCGCTTTTGCTCTCGCCCTCAATCACTTAAAACACCAACCAACCGACAAGGAAAGCAATCAAGACCAAAATCAAAGCAACTGGTAATGAAATACCGTTGGCAGTCAAATCAACGGCACTGGACGACGATGAGACGTCACCACGTGAAGCTGCCCTTTCATTTCTGTCCAACTTGGCAGTCAAAGATTGAACTTGTCTTGCCAAAGAATCCAATTCACGTTGAACAGAAGGTGAATTTTGTTGCTGCTGTTGGTATTGATCGCCATAGCCAGAGTTGAATCCACCACCTTGTTGGGACTGGTAGCTTGGTTGTTGTTGCAATTGTTGGTGTGGTGGCTGCTGGTGTTGTTGATAACCACTTGAGTAGCCGTTGTTGATTGATGAGGTGTCATTGAAGGATCTGTTTTGAACACCACCAAAGTCGCCAGATGATGGTTTGTTGTTGAAGGACGCATCACCATTGGCTTGTCCTTGAGGTTGGTAATGAGCATTTCCAATAAGTCCAGCTGCACCTGCACCTGCAGCAGCTCCACCTGCAATACCTGCGGCACCGGCTCCATAAGAGCTTTGACTGGTTTGGTGAGAAAGAGCTGGTTGCTGTTGTTGCTGCTGTTGCTGTTGTTGAGGAGGAGGTTGTTGTTGACCAGCTCCAACAGCACCTGCACCTACGCCATTGTATGAATCATCCTTGTCTGGGCCAATGACATAGTTGACTTTCAATTTCCTTGAAACAACAGCGGACTTGTTTTGTGCCTCCAATTGTGACCATAATTCACCCACTTTGGCTGGATCAGCATTACCTGGAGCAGGAACTGACACGAGTAAAAACTTATCTTTACATTTGTAGTCTTCTGGTAATGGCTGAGAAAAACCTTGTAAAATGATGGAGATTTGCAAAGAGTCGCCTGGGTGAATGATACTGGCATTTGGTCTCACACAGTACAATTTTGGAGCAGTAGTCTTGACTTTGAAAGCTAATGGTTGGTTCGTTGGGTTGGACAAAGTCAAGTATTCAGTATTTTGTTTGGTAAAAGAGCCTAAACAATTCAAGTGTTAGTATGAAAAGATTAACTGTGGTTGTAAAATAGTGGAGGCCAATAGCAATCAAACGCGAGAGCTGTTGAACCGATGCGGCACACATTCACAAGATGCGGAACGCCAAAGCTGAAATAGCACGATCTCCGTCAATTGTCAGCATGGCACTTAAAGGATTGACAATAGTACCTTTCCCGCATAGTGATGTCACATTTTGATAGATTCAAAAGCCCTGTTGCAATCTGAAAACGTGACAGATCCACCTAGATTTCCACCCCTATTCAAAAAAAAAAAAAAAAAAATGAAAAAAACAAGGAGTGAAGTTTCGTAGTGGTACATGGTGGAACAATTTACATACCAGTAAACTCTAAAACATTTGGAGAGACGTTCATCTTGGTATGGGATAGTTTTTCAATATTCTTTTCGTAAGGAGAAAGTGTTGCTTGACAATACAATTATGTGTTACTCTGTTGGCGTGCGAATTCGGATGACAAGTGTATATACTATGCGGGCTATCCAATACAAGCGTTTGATAGTGATGAGTGAGACACGGAAGTTGTATATAAAGTGTGGTAGATGTTCTGGAGATAGAATTGGTTGCTGAAATTCCAGTTGCGTACTTAGAAAAGGAAAAGAAAGTAAAATATGTATGCGATATATATATATATTTGTATATGTGTATATGTATATATGTGTGTTGTTGTTGTTGAAAATTTCAAAGTGGGGACAAAATTGACAATTTTTATCACACTCACTTTTTCCCGTTTGTATTATATTCATTCACCACTGACATATATCTTATTACAAGGGTAGGCTATACATCGTGTAGACAGGATGATACGCTATTCCATACACACACAGACACACACACGCACTTGCACCTTCTTTCACTCGCATACGTACATGCCTGATTGTCCCCTTTCCTTGTATGTAATTATTATCTCATTTGCACGTGACAAACTTGTTATTCAGTCTACGAATTCGTCTACCTTTGTTTGCTTCCTCCTGTCACTCTATATCATACTGATGTGCAAATATGTGGGGCCTCCTATACCACTTCACGTGTGTTCCTATGTTCGGTAAGCAGTTTCGTTACTATCCATTTGATTACCCCATTAGGTAATTTGAGTGTACCACTTTTATATTTTATTTCTTTTTTTTATACAAGGCACAGGGTTTTCCCCCCCCCTCGACTTATTTTTTTTTTCCCTCACTCAGCATTTTTCCTTTTTTGTCTACGTTGAAGGATATGTATAGAGAAGTACAAGTAGATGCCAGTAACATATAATATCACCGGAAGTATGTAAAGACATTAAGGTGTGCAGTTGATTGACCCATGGCATATTTGATTTTCAATGTAGGTACCCTAATAGCACTTCATTTCAGGACTTGTTGTTGTGGTACTGTAAAGGTTAATTGTTTGCGTGTACTTTTGCAGATTTTTCTTTTGTCGCTCCGATTGTCGTTACCCCACTACCGCCTCTCTTCTTATCTCCTGACATACAACGAGACATTTGCTCAATCAGGATATTTGAGGTAAAGTTAAAGACTAGAAAGTCACACACTTACTGACTTTTGCCTCGTCCCAATAATAAAGCGGAATACGAGCCGCCTGTTCGAATCTCAAAATACAAATTCAGAATAGCTGCAATTTAGTGTTGCAATAAACCGGATCACGTGAGTAGGTTTGAAAGTGTCACATGTGTGACCTTCAGTGGCGAAGATTGTATACTCTCTAGGAACTTCTTAGACAACTATGATAGTCAATAATTTAAGAGGTATGATTGATATTTA